CTCATAAATTGAAGTATATGGGATACTTGAGGATAACATGTAGGTGCTGGTTAAAGAACAAGTTCACTGAATATGACCCGCTATGAGAACTCTATTTGGCATTTCACTCAAGTGTCTATAAAAAATGTTTTCATGTGATAGTCGGACAACTAGTCCTTAGACTTGAGACACCAAGTCATCTTGTATGAGGAATGATATACTTTGATTTCATTCTTACGGGTTTGGAAGCAACTAAATACCTAAACAGGGTGATTTTGGGTATGCTATGAAGCATGCGAAGGTGAATGAATGGTTAAGAAAAGATTCATCACCCTAAGTGATATGAGGGGATGTATCGCACTTGTTCTCAATTCTTGATTAAATAGTATAAAGTCTTTGGTCAAAGCATGATGAATTTGAGAAAAGTTAGTTTCTTAAATTTATAAGGTTAGTCATGAATTATGAGAACTAATATGGAATGTCATAAGTAGACACCGAGCCATGCTTAATGACATATCTGGGATATTTGATAAAAGGATCGTATTGCACTGAGAGGCTTATCATTGAAGGGCTTTGTCAAAATCTTTAATTGTCTCTCTAACATTTGGGTGGTCATAATGTATTGTTAGATGCCGCACATGATCTATAAATATAAATTAATTATCAAATTAATATTTAATTTTGATTTATATTTATTGTGAACATGTTAAAAACATAATGGGTCGCACACATTGAGTGACATAATTGAGATTAAATAAGGATAATTAATTAAGTTGGACTTAATTGAAAGAGATCAAAATAAAGTGAAAAATTAATTAAGTTCTCGGAGACTTAATTAAATTAAAATACAACTGTTGTATTTAGGGTTACAAATTAGTTTGGCTATATAAATATGTTATATTAGCAAACTAAAACTTGAAGCCTTCAAACACTTTTCAGTCGTTTCATAAAATAAGAAAAAAAAATAGTTTTCTTTGTCTGAAAAAATAAGATTCGGTAAGAATTTTAGTCCTTTTGTTTTAAAGATAAAACTTACTAGCACAAGTAAAATTTTACCTTAGAGAAAGTCTTATTTAGTCACTGTGTGGATTATTGTTAGAGGCTAAATACTTGGGTAACTAAAGATTTGACAAATCCTAAAGGTGAAGAAATAAATATTTTGGATTTAATTGATTTTTTATTACGATATCTAGAGTAAGGTATGTAACTCTTAAGCATATAAGTGTTTATAATTTATTTGAAAGTTACATGAAAAACACCAATATTGATCCTGTAAGATTCGACTGTTTTTCTAATTAAATATTATTTTATTTTTTACTGTGTTATATTTTAATTTATTGATTATTTTCATATTTGAATATGAAGTCGAATTTCAACAATTAATACTTGAATTTTGATCAAATATATGATGACAAATATATACATACATACATATATATATCCCATCTGTACTAATTACAAATACATACATATATATATTTATATATAAAAATATTATATATATTTTAATATGATTTTTATTAGGCAAATAGGGTAATAAGTAGTACTGGTGATCATCTTCAACTCTGCCAAAAGCAAGTCAACTTAAACTAAAAAATTTTCAAACATTTTTTGTCCTTTTACACCTAAAACTTCAATTGTTCGATAAAAGGCAAAAGAAACTAGGGAGTATCTCAAATTTAGAACACTTGGTTATAAAATTGTATTTTAATTAGAAGAAACCGACGGACGGAGCATAAACCTGTTTTGTTGTTTTTAACTGTAAGCTGTGCTACGGAACCTCTTGATGGTGCAGACATTAAGGATTGTAAGGAGCATATGGTTGCTGGTGCACCTGGGCGTCTTGAATTGGCTAAGTGCTGCTCCATTCCCTATGAAATGATCCAAAATCTTCTTGAAAGTCCCTCTTTCAACAATGCAAAGCTCCAAAGGTCCAATCGAGTTGGTTCTCCTTGATACAACATAGCCGTGATCCACAAAAGAAGCATCCATTTCGCGACAGCACTCGCCTAGCACCCTCTCCTCCACGTCTCCTTTGATCTCCCAGTAAATTATGTAGTGTCCTGGTTGATGCACCACATCGGCACAGCTCGTGAAATCAACCAGCTCAGCTCTATACTTGCTCAGCAGCTGAGACCCCCTTTCTACCACTAGCTGAAGGTCCTTTTCTGTATTCTTGTCAATGTTAACAGTTAAAATTAGCTTTCTCCTGCATATGAAGTTCAACTTTGGGGTCCCGTTATGGAATCCAGCCACTTCCACCACATCTCCAAGCCGATATCTATAAAGCCCTGCCATATTACAAGTGAAACAAGTTATTTCAGGGTCTTGAAAGAAAATTCCAACAAATGACCTGTCATCTCTGAGAACCACACATATCTTACTAGAATAAGCAATAATCCTTAAAGCATGATGTATCTGGCTCCGATATTGAGCTGTCCTCCAATCCAGACTAACTTTCCTAAATTCTACTAGTGGATAATATATCACGAAGAGGGATTAGATTTTATCCTAGATTTATTGGCATTTGCGGTTTCCGCGATGTGCACTTTGTCAAATCAATTGTTGGCCTATAGTAAGATAATAGGGTAATGGCGCAACGAATCCACTACGCAAAAAGAAGAGGGTAATTTTATGCATTAGGATAAATTGTCGCTTCTGCCTTGGTTGATCAAAGTGCTAAGGACTCTGACTTGGATGTAACAGTCATTTTAGACTTC